GCAGCAACGTGCATAACGTTGATTCTGCTGAAACTGTCAATATACGAAACGCAGGATGTGCATTCAGTGCCTCGGGGTATCACGGAAAACGTATGGAAAATTTTACAGAGAATATTGTGAATGTATACTTTGTTACAGCGTAAAATTCGATTGTACTGCGAAATTGTATATTTAAAGTCAAAATTCGACGACTAATATTTCAAAAATTCGATCGTAAAAACTTGTAATTTTATTCGTTTCATTTTTATCAAAGGGCTAAAAAAAATATCCGTACATATATGTGTGAGAAATATTTTTATAATATATAACGTTTATCAAAATAATATATTAATTTATTGAATGATAAGACAGAGAGAGCGTGTATATCTATAATATTATATATTACCTTACTTTTATCTCGTATATATTTTTTTATTATTTTTCATATAATATTAACAATAAATTCAAATAAAAAGATAATGTTATGTAACATTCATAACCATAATTATATATGCTGAAAAGGTAATCAATCGCTCGATATAATGCTCTGCAGAATATATATGATTAAATATCATTAACATAGAAGAGTACGATGACCGAGGATCTAAGACTATGTTAGATTAAGGTAATGAGGTCGCGTGTCACCAATAGCATGGTGGATGGTTACATGTGGATATGTTGAAAAATTGTGCAGCTTCCGACATCCATCGATCAAGGGGCAATGAATAATCATTTTTGAATATCGTAAGCCAATGTTACTCTGCACGATAAAATTATTAACTTTACGACACGATATTCTTTTTTCCAGAAAAAATTTTTGGAAAATACAATGGAAAGACGTATCGATACTTGCATAGCACAAGAGAAAAATATGCAAATAAGCAAATGAAAAAAAAAATACTACGTTACAAAATATCTTTGATGATAACTAATATTTGGTCGTATTATTGCATACGAACTTAAAAGCCACTTGTAGCAGTGTAATTTATTTCTTTGTATTCTCTCATCCTTCCATTTCATTAACCGATGGATTCCCATAATCTTACGCCTGGGATAATCGACGTTTACCTACCTTTTTCTACTGGTCTATTAAATAAATCGATAACGGCAAAACACGCGGATGCAGAAGAAACGGACCAAAGAAACGGACGGATGACACAATCGCGATCGTTAATCATACCATCGACATCGTCCATCGCACGCTCGCGGCCACCCATTAAATATGAAGGCGTATAATCGGTATACCGATTGCAAGCGCGGGTAGTTTCTCGCGATTAGGATCAGGTGCGAAGTGTGTTAAGTATCCTAGAACGTCCTCCTACATATTGCGCGCAGACGCTGCATCAGGGATATATCTGGGAATATACGCGTTGGGTATTTAGCTCGCAAAAAAAAGAAAACCTTCACGCGAGATCGCCGCATTCAAATTACGCAGGTTGGATTCGTGCGGTAATTAACCCAATTCTCGAGCTAACGCGAGGAAAATATTAAGCAAATAAAGGGGAAGGGAATCGCGCCACGGAATACAGATCCCGCGGGCAGATAATGTCCGTTCGGCTTTCTAAAAGCGCCAAAGCGTTTCGAACATTCGGCCGACCCTAATTGGATATCTAACGTCACGTAGCCGTTAGAACGCAGGAGTATTTTAATAGACCAGAATTGAACCGATCAATTTTATTCTGTGACTTGGAAATAAAATGAAAGAGAAATGTGTGACGTTTTCTTCCCAGAGCACGTTTAAACAGGTCTTTCATAGATATGCGGTGAGAATAATATGACAGAAGCGGAGATTGATAACTGAAGAATGCTATCACATCATCATTATAATGATGCGCTCTTATCAGTGGCAAATCAAATATTTCGTTGTGATAAAAGTAATAGTAACGAAAACTACAACGGAAAGTGCCGTTTAAAATCATTTTACGAGTACAAAACAAAAATGCAATAAATAACATTATATATAAGGGAAACCTAAGAAAATTTTAAAATATTCGAAAAATGTTTCGAACACAAAGCTGATATCCGATAATACGGAAGAACAGGAAATATTTTAATATCTCAAAACTTTCTTGGGGCTCTTGTTAGAGCGTGTTTAGAATAGCGTTACCTTAAAATAACCGCTTCATAAATGCTCGAGAATAGATCCGCTGCAATTTCAAAACAACATCGTCATTGTCGATGTACATCACGTTTAAACTCAATGAGTACAAATAGCAGTTAACACGCACAAATAACCCTTCTATTATATAAATAATATTCCGTATATATATCGCGCGCGATCACACGAGGCTTACGCGGGAGCGTTCGCGCGCGGCCTTGAAAGTAACAAACAATCTAGAACGGAATGTCATCTACGCGAAACTTCATCCCGCGTAGATGACGCTCGATACGCGCGTCGTCCAATAGGAACGCGTCGCGCGGCCGCGACGATCGATCGCGATACATCGGAATGAAGTAATAGCCAAATGGCGCAGCAACGTGCGCTTTCGACTTCCGCTTGTCGAGTTGTCCATCTTACTCTCCTTTTCTTAATTCGTGACGGCGCTTCGATTCAAATCGGCCGCCCGCGCAGAACGCCAATCGCCGCGCGCCGCCGCGACAGTTCGCGTCGCGCGCCCGCCAATCGTCCGTCATGCTGCACGCGAGGATCGTCGTGACAACGTGTCGCGTCGCGGAAATTCGACTCGCGCGACCTGTATGCTGGATCCCAGCGTTCCATGGAGGATCGAGACGCGCGGTGGGCGATCGTGCCCTCAATCGCGGTCAAGTGTCACGCGAGGTTATGCGCGAGAATTATCTGAGGACGTTCGAGAAGTGCAAGTGTGAGTAGCAAGCGTCCGCCGCGGCCATGCCAGTCACCGCGTCGTTCGACGTCCGAGTACGTCTGTCTCTCTCGCACACCATTCCACGCGCGCGTGCGTCTCCGTCTCGCATGCGCGTCACGTTCGATATATCGATAAGATACGACCTTGACACGGCGCCGGAGAATTTATTGTTATTGGCACGCGGATTTATCCCCCTCGGAGGGGGGAACGCACTGTTACGCACACCGCGTTTTTAGGAACGAAGGGATGAGATTTAATTAAGTCTAGAATTTTTTATGCGGATGAGAGAGAGAGAGAGAGAAAGAGAGGTTTCGTGATTACGTAGTATTTGGCGACGATAAGGAGATTCATTGCAATTCTGGCATGTTGACAAGTATTTTGCCACGTGTCCGAGAGTAACTATTAATGCGCGCGATTAGTCTTTTTCTGTTATTCATAACATATCTTTGAAGGACAGGTTTAATATTATATCGGTTATACGCATTCATGATTATTATAAACAATCACTTTTTCCTTTTTACGCTATTTCAAATGCATATCAGACGGTTCGAATTACAAATGCATATTTTGTCACTTATATAAATAAGGTATTAATTAACGCGTGTTTATTATTATTCATAAATTCGCTGAGCATGTCAATAAATTATAAAAACAGAAAGTTTTACCAAGAAAAGCATTTAGTTCGATTCACATAAATTTGTTACGGGTGCGAAAAACATGACATAATGCATCGTAAGCGCGTCACAAGATTTAAGATTAAAACTATCTCGTATCTCTGCCAATCCGTTCGTGTTGACAAACTTATTAGTCATATTATATTTATCGTTTTAAGCAGACGATCTAAGACCTAAGATATGCTAAATCACATTAAGCAGATTATTTGAGAGAACAGATAAAAATAAAAAAAAGTACATAAATTATTGATGAGGTTTGCTATCTTTTCTCATTACTTTTTAGCTCATCGGATATTCATCTTAATTAATTAATTCGCGACGGCGCCGAAAAGAGCGACATAAAGAGGCCGCATAGAAAGAGAGAGAAAGAGAAAAAACAACGGAGACAGATTAGATTTAGATCGGAGATTGGTTTCTCACGGCACGACGAAAGCAGAGACGAATGTATAGGCAGAAAAATCTAGGACAGTGAAAATCAGCTTGTGTATCTGTAAAATGAAACGAGAGCACCGCGCGAATTGATCGCCATTTAGGTCTGAAGGAGTATAATAACTGTAGTTCTCGTATCATTCCAATTAAGGATCATAATTCGCATGGAATTAAGATCGAGAACAATAGCAATGTATTTAGGAGATTCCAATGTTTCAAGAAGCATAAAAAATGAATCTATTATATTGTGTATTATTTTTATAATAGAACAGATCTTTTTATTGCACCAGATTCAAACATATAATTTTGTTGAAGCTTGCGAATCTATACCTGTAGTATTTAGTTAATAATTAATTAGTCAATGGTTAATTTATTTATATTGTTGCAATTTTAGCGAAGAAACTCCCGCAAGATGTGAATCCGAAGGGTGTATTTGCCTGCAATGAACTTGATTTAAGAGAGGTCCAGGTCTATGGATTTGATTACGATTACACACTGGCCTGTTACAAGCCATCCTTGGATTATTTGCTTTATAATCTGGGACGCGACATGCTCATTAAAAAATATAAGGTTTCTATTACATTTGTGTGACAAATTCGGTTATTCATTAAAAATATGATAGTGCTTATGTCCATGCAATTTTTTGTTCTTTTTTTAATATATTCTCTTTTAAATCATATACTCTTATATCGCAATAATATAAACGAAATAAATTATTTTATTTGAAAAGCCTTTAGTCATAAATATGTATAATTGTTAAATAGAAAGAAAAGTATGCGTATATATGTGTGTCGCGAGTTATCATCCAACATTTATTTTATTTAAGAAATTATTAATTAATCATATAAGTATAGTATGTTGGAAATAGAATCTCTATATTTTATCGATATGAGAAAGCTGAAAGAATTAAAAGTAAAAATACACAGAATTTTGTCCCACTTGCCTTCATCTCAAAGGAGAGCTACTCAGAATTTTTGTCGAAATCAAAAGACAATTACATTTCCGATTAGAATTTCATCTTGAACTTCGCTTAAACTCATTTAATTGCCCCTCCAGTACCCAGAGGGAATTGCCAATCTGGAATACAGAGAAGATTTCGCCGTCCGCGGCCTCCATTACGACATCGAAAAGGGTCTCCTGTTGAAGCTCGACAGCTTCTTGCAAATTCAATTGGGTGCCGTTTATCGTGGTTTGCATCCTGTACCCGACGACGAAGTCCTCCGAATCTACAAAAATAGAATAATACCAATAGCTTACGTGGAAGCTACAAACAAACACTCTAACGTAAGTTTGTTATTAAGGAAATTACAAATGTCAATAAATAAAATTAAAAATATAATAATGCATCAAGAGAGTAAGTACATGTAACATAAAACTGCATGAAGCATATTTCTCCTTAACAAAAACAATGCATGATGTGCTTAAAACCATAAACCTGTAAATATACAAAATTATTTCTTTTACGAATTGACAAGATTTTGCTTTTTTTAATTATCGAGAATTTTCTCTTGAAATTTCTTTCTTTTATGCTATGATATACGAAAAAATAACAATTCTCGCAAAACTCACAATTCGTTTCCATTTATAAAGAAAACCTTTTAGAATATATTAAAAATGCTCAACCTTCTCTATTTGCATGTATCAACATGTGTGTTTTTGATGATGGATCATTTTATACAGAAAGTGAGTATACATGTTTGCGATATATATCGATATATAAAAATCTTTGAGAAGATTCTAATAGTGTGCGCATTTTTTTTTTTTTTTTCTTTAAGGATGCTGTACAGCGCACGAAAATGGTTCAATTAGCCGATTTATTCTCGGTGCCGGAAATGGGTTTATTGTGTAACGTTACGGAGTACTTTTTGCAGAATCACATTGACTATCATCCGGAGATATTATTTAGAGACGTTAAGGTAAACCGCACTATCCTGGCATAGCCAATGTAATCCTGCTAATTGTTTATATGATTAATTTTATACAATATCTAGAATTCTGTGCAAAGCTGCCATCCTATAATGCATCAACTGGTGGTGGAAAATGTGTCTGAGTATCTAGAACCGAATAAAGATTTGAAGAGATTTTTTGAACGACTTCGAAAAGCCGATAAGAAAATGTTCTTGGTCACAAACAGCCCTTTCCATTTCGTGTATGCATCCAAAATATTAATAATTTTAATTCAAATAGAATATTTATCTGAATATAATAATGGCTAAACAATTTTTAACGTTTTGCAGTAATAAAGGTATGCAATTTTTGGTCGGTGAAAATTGGAAGGACAATTTCGATGTAGTGATTGTTCAAGCGAGAAAACCAAGATTTTTTACCGAAGAAACGCGCCCTTTGAGAATTTACGATGAAGTTAAACAAACGCAATTATGGGATCGAGTCACTAAACTCAACAAGGGTGTTATATATCTTGAAGTAAGTCTGTCTGCTTTGATATCTTATTGTTAGAAAATTATACACTTGGGACACTACATTAGACATTTTTAATAATAACGAATTATTTTAGGGAACAGTTAAACAGCTTCAAGATATGACTGGATGGCAAGGACATCAAGTGTTGTACTTTGGTGATCATCCATACAGCGATTTAGCGGATGTAACTTTAGAACATGGTTGGCGAACGGGTGCGATAATCAAAGAATTAACGGTAATTTAAACAAAATTTTTATTAATTTTTTCTGAATAAAACTAATTTACTATCGTGAAAGAATATTAAAGCTTTGAAATTAATTTAATATAGATATAATATACAAAGAATTGCATATTATATTACAGCACGAAATCGAAACCTTGAACGATCCAAAGTTCAAAGAAAACGCAAACTGGCTTCAGATGTTAACTGGTGTAATCGAGGAACATCAAGATTACGAGGGGCCCAAAGTACAAGAAGAGTTAGACGAGTGGATAAAAGAACGGGACCAACTGAGAAACGAAATCAAATCTGTCTTCAACAAACAATTCGGTTCAGTATTCAGAACATATCACAACCCGACTTATTTCTCCAGAAGACTGTTTAGATTTGCCGACATCTACATGAGCACGATCACAAATCTTTTAGAATATTCCACGAGTCATACGTTCTATCCTAGAAGAGGTGTAATGCCTCATGAATATACTAGCTACTTTATGTAAAGTGTCGGTATTTTTAAAAATAAATACTTATTGTTCTAACGCGAGTAGCAGACGCTTTTAGAGCGTACAATCAAAATATTTCGCATTAAACGTCGAATCGATGATAATAGCATTTTCAATCATGAAAAAAGACCGATGTATTCAATGTCATGATATAGAAATTTATTTTGGAACAATGAGAGGAGGGGTGCTTGCACCACACAAATATTCTTCCGTCTTATTAATAGGTATATGTATGCATAATTACACACACACACACACGCACACACATGCAATGCAAATCTATATCGATCAACGTTAATATGCTTTTACAGCCGCGTAGTTACAACTAATTTGCATTGAAATGTAATGTATGTAAACGCGATAAAACGAGCTATATAGATTACGAAGGCTCTTACATTATTAGTATTACCATGACAATAGCCATATTATGTAAAATGAAGTGATATATCACATTGTAACAAGTAAAATGCATAGAATAGGAAATGAAGTAAGAGCTGTAGGCAAGAGAGAGCAGCTATAAGCAAAGTATTATTGAATTATGAAATTCAGATATTTTAAGAATCAATAATTACAAGAGTTTATTGTTAATAAATTATGTAAGGAAAAGAGATAACGTATCTATTGAGCTTTTGCGCGATAAAAAATGCCAATTTAATCATGTTGATATTTAATTATTTTTGCAATGAGATTTATATTCATCGTTAAAGCATAATAAATTGAATATTTAACTTGTATAATGAATCTATGAATATGACATTTATGTATATAAGCAAAGAGTACAAATCTATCGCGCGCGCCCATCCTTAACCAGGATTTATATAAAGTGGAGAGAATTGAAATTTATTATTATTAGTCTTCTATATTTAAGTTGCTATATAACTTTTTTATTTTCTTTTGCATGAAAGATACAGATTAAAAATAAATTTTCGGTCAATATTTAAATATGCCAATAAAAGAGACTATATTATTTGTCATATTCTAAAAGAATGATTTATTATATACTGTACTCCTCAAATATTAGTTGTTAAGATAACATTGCGTGTTCAAACATTTTAGTCATTATCAAATGAAAAAAACTGCTGATTCCTATGAGAATATATATGTATACATTTATCTAGTGTATTTGTAAACTAAATGTATTACACTGTTATCAAATATATCTTTATTTTCAATAATACAGCTGACGAGATCCTAATACATGCAACAAGCAAAAGAGAATATTTCTTTCATCAATAATATTTACCTTATTTTTAAAATATGAAAAAAACGTACAATGCATAAACATAGAATGATTTTTTTTTGCTTGTGGCATTCATGTGGTTCGAGATTCTTCTTTGTTCGAGATTACCTCTCTATACAGTTTCAAATTTTTATAAATTTGACAATAGCAAAAATTCAATATGACTTGGGAAGAAATTAAACCCAAGATTTCTGTGCCAATATTTTGCGCTCTCACACTCTGTCTCTTTCTGGCAGATATACTAATTGACGAGACAAAATAAAAAAAAAGCAGAAAGATAACGGTAAGATTCGTAGGTTAAATCTCTGTCAATGATACAATTATTTTCATCCATAACATCATAATTTTTAAGGCACTGATTAGCAATAAATATTGCAATATCACAAGTCCGAATAGTATTTAAACAGTTCCCTAAAATAATTTAATTGTATTAATCGATTCTCTTTTCCTCCTTAAATTATCTAAATTTCTATTCATTAAACTTTTAAATTTTATGTAAAATGGCATATCATTATGTGTACTGCTATAATAGCACAACCCGACAATGATAAATGAAGTAAGAGTATCTCAGGACATACCAGCATTTCAAAAGGACATTGCGCTCGATAGATTATCGTCTTTAGTAGCTCAACAAGCTCGTAGGAATGTAATCATCGTCGACGATGCGTCAACGGATGGACATGCCGTTGAGAAAACACTGAAACAGACACCCGATACGTTCATGCAAAATATGAACAAAGTCTCTAATAAAGTCTTTATAAACATTAAAAACGAGAAAGTAAGATTAACGTTATATCGCAGTGAGATCAATGTAAATAGAATTAATCAAAGTTCATACGTAAATTATATACAAAAAATTAATTTTATATTTAGAATTATACTCATAAATCAAAGTTATATACGTATATATAAATACATATTTAAAATATATATATATAAATACATATTTAGAAAAATATTGAACATGGAGATACGGGGATACCGGCCAAAAAACATTCTCTTTACAAGATTCCCTTAACAACATTGCAAGATGAAGAATTGATAAAACAGAAACAGCATGGAAATATAATCACCGATCGTGAAGCTACTACACTTTTATTGCCAAATGTTCCAACTACGTTAAATACAGCTAATAAGCTTCATCGTAAGGTGATAAAAATAAAAATCACATTAAATATAATTATTTAAATATATTAAATTATCGGGAAAAGTCCATAAGATATTCTGTAAAGAAAGTTTGGCGAATGAAAAAATTTAGCTACTGATTGCTACTTTTTGAAGTATAATGTGTGATTTAAAAAAAAATATATATATATATTTTTTCTTAATATTATCATGCGCATCATTCTGCATATAATTTACAAGATTTTAGAATGAAAAATAATTCATAATGAGAAATATATCTTGCTGAAAAGATGACTACTTTCAACTTCAAATTTAAATCTAATTTGGACAGTCCCCAGCATCATTATTCGTCTTGCCTGCTAATAACATCTATTATTCAGCCTGTAATCACACCTTCGGAATCTGTGGAATTGTTCGTAAATACGCTGCCGAAATTAGAAAATTCAGAGAATATCGGGGTGCAGAATATGCAGATGGAAGTTCCATCGATCGACTCGTTCACTCCGTTGGAAGCGGCCGCTATATCGTGCGTTCTCGAGGAATGTTTAGATCAGCTCGCCATAATAGGATTCATGCTACCGGCCAAGGTTGACTCACGCTGGGACGACACGTTTAAGACGATCGACGAGACGTACGGAGTGCCCGACGAGCCTAGAACGATCTTCAGGGAAGATATGGGTCTCTTACCAATTGTACCTACAGAGGCTGAAAAAATGCAGAGGGATAGGTGCGTAAAAGCGTATATTGATATTTTCCTAATACATATGCCATTATATATAAACTCGATGTCTTCGACAGACAATTCCTAAAAAAAAAAAAAAAAATTTAATTTATATGCACATCTAATGAATTTATATTTAGGAATTATACATATCAAGTTCTCGAGAGAGTTCTTCGCGACATAAAAAACAATGGCAAATTCGATAGTCTGCAAAAAGAAATTGATAATATCGCAAAGAAGCAGGAAGGCGATCATAATCTCGAAGCAAATGCTCAGATCAGGTTCAGCCAAGCTGAGGAACTCCAGGGACTGCTAGAATCTGAAAAGAAAGAGAATGAAGAAGACCGAAAAAAGACGATAAGACTCGCGCAGGAAAGCGATGCACAAGTCGACCACGCGATATTTTTAAATAGCGGAAAATTAGGTAAAATGTATCATTCACATGTATAAATATATTTCTCGATCGGTATTATTATGCTCAGGCTATGCGGAAAAATGGGAGAAGGCCAGATTGGAACAGCAGGAACTCAAATTGCATCTACAAAGAAAAGATATGCTAAACAAATTGAGCGACTACTCAAAGGAACATAACGCGGAGCAAATTATATCAGCGGAATTGAATGCTTACTTAGAGGCGGACATCAAAGAGAAAGAAGAGCAGGTAGTTATGTGGACGAAGAAATATAACGAGGAACTTGTGGAACGGCAGCAGGAAATCGACGAATTAAAGGTATATTTGAAGATTAATGTAAGAGGATAGTAATATTTTAGTAGCAATAAAAAAACATTATTTATTTCGCATATCAGAATTATTTCTGAGTGGTAAAAATATAAGTAATATAATATTTCTTTTCAAGTATAAAAACAAAAATATGATTATTAAAATATAAAAAAATAAAAAAAAAATGTGTAGCATAAAAAATATATGATGTAAATGATAGCATATTTTAAAATAGCTTGTAGTTATTCACGAATCTGTATTTTCGTCTCGATAGCGTCTTATAGAAGAACAAAAATTAGAAATGGAAGAAATGCGCGCTTTGATAGACAAGCGACAAAAACTTATCGACGAATGCATCGCCGAAGAGAAAAGATTGCAGGAAGAAGCGAAGCTAAACAAAGCTGCAACTATTATCCAATCGATATGGAAAGGTCACATGGTGAGGCAACAATTAGGAAAGTACAAAAACTTGCTAAAACGATTGAGAAAACGGAAGAAATTAAGTAAACAGAAAAAAGAACGTTTGATGAAAAGAAAAGAAAAAAAGTAGTCAAAAGAAAAGTTCATAAAAAAGGGGCTTTGGCGCCTGAGCAAACAATACAAAATTCGATGTTTTATTTTAGCGAGCGCTTATGCTTTCTTTACATATATACTAATAATGCCTTCTCGATGTATCTCTGTAATGGTATATAAATTATTCAAATATATTTTTAAACAAATATCTCAGAAATACAGTATTTACATAAAGTTTTGACTCACATTCATGCAAACGCACACCTAAACATTATGTGAACATTACCGAGTACGAATACCATACGTGAGAAAGTAATAACAATATAAATACCGATCGAATATATTCGTACTCGATAAATGCGTAATATCTTTCGAATTCGATCTAATTGTCGCACGTTCCAAAGCTAAAAATAAATAGCCGCTGAAATAATCAGTGGCAGTGTGATGATCACTGTACATACCATCTGTTTGTACTGCAAGACTTGGAACAATCACAATTTTATCAATAGCATAGTATATAGATCGATAGTGCGATGATAAAATTATGCGCGACGGATGTTTACGTGAATTGAAATATATTATACTTATCGTTCAGTCTGTATGCATGTACTAGATAGAGCGAGTACTGTATTATAATTTTTGCAATAAACAAACTAGCGGGCGATTAAAGTTTATTTTTGCATCTCTTTATTAAACGCGTGCCGGGATATGTGCGTTACCCGGTATCGCTAGATGGCCATTGGTCTGTGCTTAACGACCCATCGATTTAATCATTTACAATCTCCCGAATTCTTCTGACAGGTCAGACACGCGCGATCTCCATCGACGACATAGCGAAATGAAATTCGGGCTAGGATGAAATAAAGATACCGTCGCGTTCAAATCGACGAGCATTAAAATTCGAGAATAGTAATTGCTCTATTATGTCGAGATCTTACGACGTGTTTAATTGAAGTGGAATTTAAATTGGAAGGGAGAACCGTGGAAGTGATGGAACTCCTGGAAGGGATTGAAACCCTGCTGGTGCCGACCCGACTCCGGATCCAGAGGATCCTCGCCCTGATCAAATTTCGCTCTCTTTTCTTCATCCGTAAGAACCTCTTTGGCAGCGGCAATGTCGATGAATTTCTTTTGCGCACGCTTCTTCTCTTCGCCTTCCTGGAAATTATCAGGATGCCACTTCTGTGCTTGCTTCCGGTACGCTTTAATGATATCTCGCTTGCTGGCGTTTCTCGATACGCCTAAAATTTTATAATAATCTCGGGTTTCCGACAGTTTCTGACGTTGTTGCGCTTTTTGCAATCCTTGCTTGGCTCTCTGCATATTCGGTTCTATTTCTAAGGCATCTTTATATTCTCTGATGGCTATTAAGAGAAGAAAAAAAAAATTAATTTATTATATTATATAATCATCATATAAAATGGAAAAGCTCATGCACACGCTTCATCACTATAAAATACAAACTAAAAAGTTGTAAATTACCATCGTCGAACATTTCCCCTGCGAGATATGCTTCCGCACTATCACAAATCACATCAGGTTCTCTTCTGATTTGTAATGCCTTTTGGCAATTATTGATTGCATGAGTTGCATCAGAGATCCCCGTATAACACTTACAGAGATAATGATAAACTGTAAACTGTACGTTCTCATTCAACTCTTGCTTTAATACACGTTCAGCTGAATTGATGCATGCATCATAATCTTTTGTATCCTCTAGTGCTGTCCTTGCATCTTCTAGCAACTTATAAATCTTTCTTATTTTCTTATAAAATGGGAAACATTCCTTATGGTCTGGATCAAGTTTTAAACACTCTCGAATCTCCCTGAATATTTATCAGATTTTAATATTGCATTTCAATTAGATATATATATATAATATTAATAGCTAATTACTCACTTTAATGCCTCATCAACTTGTCCGAGACGATACAACCATATTGAGAGTTTAAAAAATCCTTCGGTATTATCAGACAGCAATTTTGTGGTCGAACGTATATCAGATATAGCACTCATATAATCTCCGAGAAGATTATAGCTCTCTGCTCTTTGTTCTCTAAGATTAGAAGACCATGGACATACTTCGAGGATTCGAGTAATTAGCTGTACAGCTGTTGCATGATCACCATTATATATCATCGCATCAACTAGTTTTACATCATCCCTAGCTGAGTATAACCTATTTAAGGCATTAAAGGCATCCCTATTATTTGGCTCTACAGATAGCTGGAATAAGAAAGACAAGAATAAATTTTTATATACAAATTATGATTTACTTAAAGAATGCATAAAAAATAACATACAACATCTTGAAAGTCTGTTTCAGCCTCATCAAAATAAGCTTGCTTGAGTAAAATATTGCCACGCTGTAATCTCGCTGGTGTAAAGTCAGCCTTCAATTCTAAAACCTTATCAAGGTCAAGAAGAGCGAATTTGGCTTTACCTAATGCTAAATAAACTGTGCCTCTCTTGTAATATGTCAGGTAATTGGTCGGATCTCCCTCTGAAAGAAATTTATCAATTTTCTATTTTTCTTTTACGCTAGAACAATAGTTGTCAATTAAGAGTATAACGGACAGAGTTGTCAATTAAATTTGTTTAGTAATGCAATTTAAAAATCGAGCGCATTGCAATATGCAATTCAACTTACCAACAGCTGCATGATAATGCGATAGTGCGTCCTGCAACTGGCCCTTCGCCAGGAATTCCCTGCCGTAGTCTAGATGCTTGTCAATCTCTAATTGAGAAACACTTCCGACCACTGAAAAAAAACGACCGTTATCAATTCCGTGCAGGCACAAACACAAGTATTATGCTCAATTATTCAAATTTACGAGAAAGGTTAGGAATACTTACAGTCAAAGGTTAAATCCAACAGTACCACTATCAGGAAACCGTGCATGTCTGAGAGAGAAATCAATTCACCAAGTGCAACGAAGCGGCGCTCTAAACAAGAAAATTAATCCGAGATCGCGACGAGAAACGTAATGACCTAACCACCCGATAACACAAAACTATCCAGCCACGCCGCCATTGCGTCGTGGTCTTACGCGATTGGTGATACGCGTATCGTGTTTCCCCCACCACCGCGAGTCGATTCCAATCGAACCTAATAAGCGAGTCTTGCGACTGCGTATCGCGGGAAAAATAAATGTCTAAGATTAACAGACTATATTCATACTCGACTATATATTTTTCTTTAATATGTGACGAAAAGAACCCATTAAATTAACGATTTAACACGATAAAGCCATAAATCCGCGATACAAGATAACGCACGCATTCATTAAGAATACATGTACCTCGTGGCATGTTTTATTTTAATCTCTGTGAGATCAAAAATATATCTCTTTTAATACGAGTTATAATATTTTTTTAAATAAAACTATTTCACAATTCTGTTTGTATATGAACAATTCTCTTTTCGAGTTACCTAAGCGATTAGCAATGAATAACAAATTAATTTCCACAAATATATATAAACAGATAAAATGTTATTCTTCTCTCATTTACCTTGACTTTATTTAATCAGAATTTTAATGTAATGCTTGTAAAAAATCAAACCGTAAACAAATGGCGTATAAATTTTTCAAGAACAATTGAATCAAAATTTGTTTCACTACTTTATGTATAACTTTATAATTGTAATATAATTTCATAGTTTTTTCGATACACATTTTTTAATTCTACATAATAAATGGTAATTGCATAAGACAATCGATTTAATTATTTTTTTTTTAATGTACAAGGATATCGGAATATTACGTAGATAGTGGAAAGAACGCATAAAACAGGGACTTTGCACTTAATCCTCTTTTGTGATCTTTATTATATTCATTTTTGTAGGTCTCCTGTCTCACTTGCTCTTCTCTCTCTTTCTCTCTCTTCATATAATACTATATAAATAAATGAGAAATTCACCGAATAAAAGAACACTGAATTAATATGTGATCGTCCCGTATGAGGTATTTTGTAACAATATTGACACTCTACATCATTCTTCACGAGCATACGTTGTACCTACGCATGCAAGAAGTATGTGTACACGCGCTTCGCGACGCGCACAATAACTTATTGCTAATGAACGATAAGTGTACGACACACATTGATCCTCATCTATTTTTTTTCTTTGATCAATTTCTCTCCTTCGCGCACTCATTGAGACACTTTTCTTTATTAATTTATCCAATGCGTATAATATATCTATATATATATATATATATATATGTATATATAGAACCGTACGTGTATGTGTGTGAGCGTACACAACGGTTCATCGGAACATTTCGCTCATCTTTGTTCGCGTATTCGATTTCGCCCCGTTTTTAGCGCGTAATTATGTAAATTACTACATAAGAGACCGACAGAATGGTACATTTACCGTTCCGTTAAGATACTCTTTCTCGCTCGACATCGAGTGAAGTAAACGTATAGCAGTATCATTACGGTTACAAGCAACTAACGCACGAGGAACGTCGCACGCTGATTCATTATACAGGCATCGCACATTCGTGCAACATTGCATGTCGCTCTCATAATGTTATTCTTATCGCACGCATCGCTCCGATTATCCGTAAATCGCAACTAAATTATACGCGATTCTCTCTTGCACCTTACCATACTACTCTCTCCCCGACACACGTACGACGATCCTCGACCCCAAATTGAAACATTCGGAACAAGTTAGAAGACATTTCTTTTGCCATCCCACCTCGCTCTACCAAGAAAGCGCGCGCGCGCGCGCGCGCGTGTCCCATAACGCCAAGATTCGCATTCTTATCGCTATCTCCGAAGAGAGGGTAAGCATTAACGCATCCGATTTCTTCCATCGACGAATGTCATCAAAAATCGTCCACTCCGACACACACACGCGCGCGTGTGTAAAATAATAAAAAATACAAGACTATAATCGCACGTGAACAATTTCTCCGCTCTCGCCGGCGACATAATGTAATGTATAATCGCGCACGCATCGCATTATTACATAATACGGCTTACAATGTGTAATGTGTTCCTTGCGGATCGTGCAATTTTTTTTCCTTCCCTCAGTAATGATTGCAGTCACAGTCAATGCTATTTCTTTCTCTTTCTCTTCTTTTTTCCGTTTTACTAGTTCATCGTAAATTGATAGCCCCTCTTTTCGTTTCTCTTTCAATTTCCTCTTTTTCTTTGCTCTTTTAAATATTCTTTTAAATTAATCTTTCGTCTGGATCATCATTCTCTGTATGTATACGTATAAAGTGTTTTCCCTAAGGCTGCTCGTCCGATATACTTCAGAGGACCAAACATGACACGAAAAGTACAGTACACAGTACAGAAGAATATTTACTGTTTACCATCCAAAACGTGTAAACGTAGAAAATAAATACTAAATCGATCAATAAATAGTAATCGTTTATTACATCATTCTCTACTCCCC